TAAAGGATTCTATGATTCTATGAACAGAAAAACAGATCTTGCCAGTAGAATGAAATAAATACCTACTAGTTCATACAAATGTGACTTCACAGCTATGCTCCAAAGTTTCTCAATTCACATTCCACATACCAACAGAAAACAGACATGATTTGGGGACTTCATCATCATTATTAAAAAATAAGTTATATATAGCTGCTATTGTAAGTAAATTAGTAATTTTAAAATGTGCCGAGTCCCACAGAAATAGCACCCTTGTAAAGTTACAATTTAAGACTATGTTAGGCTAGAAGGCACTTTTAGATTTCAAACTACTGGAATCCTTTCACAGAACTGTGGCACACCAAGACTTACCACAATAAGTGCTTTAAAACCATCACAACCAAAGTTTTTAAATTTCCTCACAGTTGATTTTTGTGATGAGCTATTAGGACACTCTTTTTCTGATTGTCATGTGTTACTAACCTTCCTCTCTATCTCTCCCTGCATTTCCCCTCCAGCTGTGTGGTATTGCTGTGGAAGCACAGGCTGAAACAGCAGCACAAAATGAAAGGACTCAAGAGAAGATCTTAAAATTACTCACTCTCTTTATAAAATTATCTCCAGAACACTTTCTGCTTGAGGGACATTTCCAATTCACAGACAGAGAAAGAAGGGAGAGAGCAAGACAACTCCAGCTGCAACCAGCTGAAGACTACTAAAGGAAAATACCAAAAGGTCAAGCACATCAAGATCAAGGCATCTAACTTCTCCTCTTATCATAACGTATGGACTGTACTGTGCAAAATCACCCACTAGCTTCAGAATTTCTGTTGCTCTGAGTATTTTCCTCTTTACAGGAAAGAAAATGTGTGTAAATGCCTGATAAGCATTCTAAAATAATAATCATCCGCATAAATGTGTACAAACTCATATTGTAAATCAGAACAATCATAACAGCTCCTGATTTTAAAACACCTCTTTACACTGACACAAACTTTCAAACACTACTCCTGTGGTGATTCATTTTCAGGAAGGTTTTAAGGAGTAAACATCGCTGGTGCAGGTATTGTTAGGGTGCTGGTCCTTGTTCCAGCTGTTTCTCGAGACTTTTGGTGACCCCTGCCCAGCTTGCCAGCATCTAACATGGTGCTAAAGTTGAGTGAGTCACACACTCTTATGGTCTAATTGGCTAGGTAGGCCTACCACAGCCCCCCAGCCACACCACGTGCCTCCCTGGAACATCATGCAGGCTTGCAGGCCACACGCCTCCCCTAGGCGTCAGCATTAAAGAAACTGTTAAGTCAGCAGAGACAAGCACCAACTTCAATATCTTTTAAGAGAAAATTAATATGTAGAATCATATAAATATCAAAAAGACATGAAAGAAAATGTTTCTAGGTGCAACAGTTCTTTGATTCTTTCTCTAGCTGAGTTTGTCTTCTGCTTTTTTAATAAATAAAGGTGAAGGCAGAGGCCCCCGAGTGCAGAATGTCTTTCTTGTGGAACATTTGTACCCATCCACGCTGCCACAGTGGTGCTGGGGTCCATGAACAATGCACAGCTTCCCAAGACATTCTGAGACTCCTGGACAAGGCTACTGAGGACGTTTTTTCATGTAAATCAAAAGATAGGCCGTTTGTCCCCTGTGGAAGCAAAGAAAAAGCAAAACAAGATGCGCGTTTGAAGATCTAGGTTGCAACTAACCTCCCAGCTTTGCTCCTGACCAGCTTTTTGAGGTTTAAGTCAACTGAACCAGCCCTCTCCAGTGTTCCTCAGGCAGCATATGAAGATAACTCCCTGGCAGTGCTATATGTTACAGGAGGGATTATCTCCCTCCAGCTTTCCTACAATGCATCGAAACAGAAAAATCATGGAGCAATCCTGACTGACACGTCTAACTTCAGTCAGGATACAGGGTCCAAGTGGCAGTCATAAGTAACAAGACCACTCCTGCAGCCCCATTTGTGGCTACTCAGTAATCCTGCAGGCTCTCAGTATAGTCAGTCATATCAGAAAAACCAGAACGCAAGGGTTACTCTTCTACTCCCCTGCACCCCCAGTACACCCCAGGCAACATGCAGTTCAAACCATGTGTCTTCCCTCTCTTTGCTACCCTCATTCCAAACCCTGGAGCAGCTCTAGGTAAAAACAGAGACGTGTTTGCCTACCAGTGGAGGCTGGAATGTCCATAGGTGCATTTAACATCATCCCATGACACCTACACAAGAAAAACACGCAAGAGGAGGCTGGTAAAAACTTCTAAGAGAGAGACACATCATAATGCCAGCACAGTAACTCTTAAAAGAGTTGTATAAATGGAATTTCCAGGACCTAAACACCTTTTACTAAAATGGTTTATTGCTTTCACCCTTTGAGGAAAAACAGTTCCTTTGCCTCTTCTGAACAGATACGTTAAACAGATTTAGAATATATGAAGTAGGGTACACAGTGAATGGCTGCCTCTGCAAATCAGAAACCAGAGCCTGCAGTCTTGTCTGGTACAGCAGCCGCTCTGCCTTCAGCCCAGAGAATGCTGTAGCAGAGGCAAGAGATGCATAAAGCTTTGCAGCTTTGATTTCCTTTCCTGGTTCTCTTTAATCAGCAGTCAGTCAGACTGAACTAGATATGAAGGGGTTTGCAGGAAGCTACAAAAGAAATGTGGATTTGTCTCCTCACCTCGCAAACCTCAGAATCATTGAAGCAATACCATTTACATTCTGTGAGACTTCGAATATAGGCACAGTAGTGTCCACAACTAGCTGATCCTGAATGAGCAACGACAGCAAAAATCTCGTATTTCCAGGCAGCCTGTGAAGAGCCACAAAGAGTAACATTCAGTGCAGCAATTCTCATTTGCCATTGGCTGGACAGAAGCAGCAGCCAGGACAGCAAGAATGTGCATTTTGTAAGGAAAAAGGAGAAAGATTAGATTGGCTTTGAAGCTCCTGCTTTTTGCATCATGCCCTTAGAGTTTTGCCTGCCAGCTATGGGCTGGCAGCCTCCCCGGAGATCACAGGAATGTGGAAAAGGCCCTAGGACAGCACGGGGGCAGCAGAGGTTACGCTGCAGCCAGCACTACACCAGCGAAGTTTTGCTGTTGCCACCCTCTGCCTTCACTTCTCAGGGAAGGGAACGGATCCACAGAGTGGCAGATCTCTCTCAGCTGCTTGGCAAAGCTGCCACCTCCCTGCTAACCTCACCTCTGTGGCAAACACCACTGCATGGAAACCTGCCAGCCACGGAGCTCCCCCGTCTTGGACTGGTGACCTCTGCAAAGCAATAGGTCTGCTGCTCACTGAGGCCACCTTGCCCTGGAGGCTGAACCACAGGACAGAAGCTGCCTCTTAAGACACTGGATTGGGTCATTCAAATGAACTGTGTTTTCATCTTTTCTTTACTATATTTAGAAATGGAAGAAAAAAAATTATGCTAAATGTTCTCAGGAAAAAAGGGTTTGGGGTGTTTTTGTTTTGTGAAGCCTAGGTTTTGTCCTTAAGGCAGAAAGCTCCAGTTACACTGCCTTTGGTGATTTCTTCTGAGCACAGGAAACTGATTAGTGCCTGAACCAGTTAAAACCATGGGATGTGAGACAACACCAGGTAAAGTCCAAAACATACCTTTTTAAGACAGGTGCTTTGAACTGAAGCAGGTACTGCTGTGATCTCTTACGTTTTTATGAGATGAACAAAGGGGAGAAGCAAATCTGCCCTTTTAAAATAGGGCATTAGGAGTATCTCACCTTCTCACTGTCACCTGCTTGGCACTGATTTTCTGTCAGCACTGCGTTGAAATCAAGGTCTTGTGGGAATGGCAGGCAGTGACTAAGCTTATGAATGTAGGCTGACTTTTCGAAGCAGAAGCGCTTTAGGTGTATGGTCAGAGTCTGTGGCAGGTGGACTAGCTTCATGCTCTGTAAAGCAATAAATAATGCAATGGGAAACTAAGGAACAACCCCCTGGGAGGTGGGGTGGAAACAGCCATTGCCACCCAGTGAATGCAGCATGGAGGAGAGCCAGTGCTGCAGTGAACGACCGCCACTTCCACCAGACAGCAGATGCCAGACCTCTGTAGCTCGTCTGCACACGTGTGACGCATGCACAGAACGGAGCTGTGATAACTCAACGTCAGCATGATCAGCACCCAGCCTCGGGTGCCTCACAGGCTGCTTCATTTCTCATCTCTTTTCCTAGGTAGGTGAGGAGAGGCAAGCCAACTGTCTTGTGACATGTGGCCACTAGAGCTGTGTGGAAGACACCAAGCTGATAGCTCATTCCTTCCAGCACTGCCTTTGTTGATATCACTGCTGATGCCAGGGCTGTGCACTGTGGCCTTGGAGGTGGCCCAATGGTGAAAATGTCGTGAAAAATCCCCTCCAAGCCTTGAGCTGAGGGGGTCTCCCTCACACTGAAGAGAATGCTCTCTCCAATGCACTTGCATCTTCATGAAATTTAGTTAATTTAGTTCATTCATCAGCTGGCAGAGACCAACACTGTAAAAAATGGGGAGCCCAGTGGAGAGCAGGGAAGAAAGGAAATCACCCTGCAGCATCCTACTTTTATGTGTATGTGCAGCTCCATTGACATAATCTTGTCTACCCCTGGAGCGAAGCAGCAGTGTAAAGCCCCATGGTGGAAACAGAACAGAAACCAACAGAAGCTTTTCCACTACTACAAAAATGCTACATCCCTCAGCACCCATGAAAGCATTCTTTTGTTGCTAGCTACATCTGCACTAGGGAACTTTGTAAGGCTTACTCCTAGCTGGCATTGCTGTGCTGAGAAATCTTTGAGTTGTTGATCTCCTCTTAAACTGACATGTCTGAGTCCTTTCCCCACCACAGCCAGCCCTAAAGGGAGTTCTGAGTGTAAGAGACATATGGGGAAATAATTCTCCAATTACCTGCAGAAAAGGTGTTTTCCTTCCACACTGCTCACAGAAACACATGTTGTGCTCAGTCAACTCTTCGGGACGTAAAAAGCATTGCAGACAATCCTCCTAAGAAGACAGAGGAGATTTCTTTCAGCTGAAATCCTTCAAGATGGATTTCTGTCTCCACTTTGTTTCCCAGGATACAAGCAAACAGCAAAGCTACAGAAAGGGCATTTTATGCAAAGGAAAAAAGACTGCCTAGCAGCCTAAACAAAGGTACTCAATTTTTCCTAGCTGTTGCTACAATGACATTAGTTGGAAAAAGAAAAGAAAATACAGTATACCACATCTTCCACAAAAAAAAAAAAAAAAAGATGTCTTTTACACATACTTCAAAGCCTTAGAGATTTTGAAAAAATCTTTTAGCCTGAAACAGTATGAAGTGGTGAGAGAATAAGTAAGGTCCAATGGTCCACTGTCACCTGAAAAATCCACTATTTTTTTTATAAAAAAAATTATGCTTTCTATTTGTGGCAGCACCTGCACAGCCACCAGCACTGCTGTATCTGGTCTCACACATCACTACTGATTTAACAGTAGAAGATTGTGCTGGGCAACTGCAGCACATCTAGCCTGCGATTACAAATTATGTAGGGCACCTTCTGTGGTCTCCAAGGTCTCACAGGTACACATCACTGTGCAGTATGAGACTTTGAGTCTTACAGAGAATTTAGTCAACACTTTTTCGAAAGGTGATTCAGGGACTTTATTGTCCAACCCACAAATGTAACAATTTTTTTTTAGAAATTCAGAATCCCTCAAAACAAAGAAGAAATGTGAATGAGAAAATAACACCCCAAAGTCCCAAACACCCTGTAGAGATTCTTGCAGAGATTCTAGATGAGTCTTAGGAGATTACTCCCACAGTGGGAAGGCTCCCACAGTGAACAGAAGGGAATCTTCTTCCTAAGGAAACAGTGATGCCACTGAACTTACCAGAGTATTCAGCACATGAGAATTGGAATCCAACACTGGGAGAGGCAGGGTTAACATGTTGCTGTTCCTCTTTGTTTCAGAAGAGCATTTCTGACAAGCCAGGTGTTCCTGTACACAGATAGTGTACAAATCACTCAGCTCTTCAACCTGGAGAGGTTAAAAAAAAAGCCAAAACAAGGTTTATAAAGAACACAGCTGATGTTATTTCCCTCTGTGGGTACAAAAGCCCATGTGGACACGTTACTTCATGCAATGTTACTGCTTTAAGTCTTGAACCCAGATCTGACATTGACTTACTTATATGGACAGGGCACTTCCCAGCATTTAAAGAACAACTCCTTCCCCTCATACCCCAGCAGAGGGGAAAAACATAATCTATAACAAGATGAGACAGTTAAATGTCTGCTTTGATACAGAATTTTAGTTTCATTTGGAACTGCAACAGGAGCCTGTTTTCTGTATGAATAAAACTATGATGGTGGGTTTAGGAAGAGTCACTTTCCTCTTACCTGACACAGCTCCCCAGGAGGAACTGTCATATACATAACATACTAACAGTGACTAATGATAATGAAATGCACACGGCTGACTTCAAAGAACAAAGAAGCTGTGTCAAGACACACCAATAAATTACAGAAATTTGAAGAAAAAAGAAATGCAAGGTAACTAAATTCAGTTTTTCAGAAAGATCCATCTTTTTGTCATTAATCGGCTCTCTCTTTAGAATGGAGACTGTGGTATGCCCCAAAAATAGGATGAACAAAAATTAACTGTGATTCAAAATGTTGGAGCTTATAAAAACATCTTCCCTCGCCTCTTTAAAAGATGTGAGGGAAGACCCAAATTGAGGATAATTTTAAGAATTTAATTTAGGACAATTGTCAGTGAACAGTATTCTTTGTCAAGAAGCAGAGGAAACCACACACAACAAGGGCCTAAGGACTGGGTGTTCATTGCAGTAACTGTCCTTACCAGCTCTGGCTTTTTCATCTGCCTCTTTATCAAGTTCCAGAGAGTCAGAAAGAGCTGGGCAGCATCATGCTGCACAAACACTGGACAAACAGAAAACACAACCTCAATCAATATTACTAACAGCACTAAGCACAGATTTCCCACAGATGGCAAGAGGAGGTTTACTGTCCCCCATTCGATCCAGTCCCTTGTTCCCTTGCCCCTCCCTGCCAGGGACAGAGCTTAGACTGGGGATGAGCTGCCATGAGCAGGCAGCAGGAAAAGATGGGAGGGCTCAAGCATGCCACTGTACAACCCAGTGCAAAAGTCATGTCCTTGTCACTGGATGCAGGGCCAAGAGTATATACAACACCTACCCAAGGACAGGGCTCAGATGTCTCATTGAGCCGAGCTGCATTTAACTGAGTCCTTCTCAGAAACAATACAGGGAAGACTCTTTTCTCTTTTTCACCTTTGTTGCACTACAAATTTGTCTCCACCCTTCCCTCCTTATTGATGTTTATAAATATTTAACGAGTGGGTGTCAAGAGGATGGGACTGGTCCCTTTTCTGTGGTGCCCAGTGACAGGACAAGGGGCAACAGGCACAAACTGGAACCACACAGGAAGATCTACCCAGACATAAGGAGAAATTTCTTTACTGTGAGGGAGCACTGGAGCAGGTTGACGAGAGAGGTTGTGGAGCCTCCTTCTCCAGAGACTTTCAAAACCCACCATGATACATTCCTGTGCAACCTGCTCCAGGAGAACCTGCTTTGGCAGAGAGGTTGGACTAGATGATCTCCAGAGGTCCCTTCCAACCCCTACCATTCTGTGATTCAGTGATCCTCTTGCTAAGGAGGCACACTCCTGAGTGCTGAGATAAAAATGATAGGGAGGCCAAACTGGGCAAAAACTATGCACAGTTTAGCAAAATCTTGATATATCTGGATTACCCCTATGCTTGATCATAGATGAAACAAATTTTGTGGAATAATCCAACACCCTGAGCTGGATGTGCTTTCAACTTCCCTGCAAGTCTGCAGGTACTGACTTCAGCCAGGTTCTAGAAAGATTACAGACATCTCTTACTAAATGAAGCTCAGAAAATACACCTTTCCTCATGGCTAACAGCAGATCTGTGATCCAGATAAAGCAACACTTGCTAAGATATAGGACTTTATGAATCATATTTGAATTTTAAAGCACGAGGATAAGGTAGTGAACTGTCAAGCTTCACAAACTCTCTTTGGGCATCCTTCTTTAATTGGAAGAAAGAAAGCACAATGAAGAGTCATTCAATCTCAGGGGGAAAAAAATTATGCAGACAGAAATATTTAGGTTATCTCATGTTCCTCCTTAAGGTCTGGGCTAGCTACCACCTGTCCCTTTCAGTGGTGTCCTGTTTTGGCTTTTATGTGACGAAGATCAGGACATTTGGATACACCAGGTTTATTTGTACACATAAACAGACCCACAGCATCCCATTGTCACAGGTCACCTGCACATTTAACAATCTTTTTCCTTCAGGACCCTCCTCAGGTGAGAGGCTAGCCCAGAAAATTCTGCTCTCTTTCCTTGTAACAAGGAACAGGAAGGATACAGTTTCTATTCTTGGGAATCTGGGTGAACTCAGTATATTTTCCACACGATCCCTTCCTTCTAGTAAGAAACAACAGCTGTTTCACTATTATCATGCCACTATAGCAAGACAAATCAAGCTATAGG